AGAAAACTTTTAGCAACTAAAATCCTGTATTGCCACCACACACGTGTTGCAGTTAAATGTCATTACCACCATGTGGCTGACACAGCATGAAAAACAACTGCTAAGGTATTCAAAAGGTTGTTTTAGTGTTTAAAGACAATGTCATACTCCTGGTTTTGCCGCTTGCTGGTTTTGAGTTTTTGTATTTCCACATTTCAGAAATTTTGTCCTGAATGTGGTCCTGTAAAATACATAGTGCTCTGTCTTCATGTTTTTTTTTTCTGAAGCAGATTCAGCTTTCCTGGTCTAATAACATAATACCTTTATATTTACTGTCACTACTGTCATTGCATTTGCAATGCAATCCTCAGCAGAGACCCAGCGAAGCCACAATGCTGAAAACAGGATATAACAGTAGTAATTCGAAAAGTTGCTAATATGTTCCCCCTATTAAAGTTTATGTAAAATATTTAAATATTTCAAACAGATTTGGAAGATCTTCAGAGCAGATTCTTGAAGGGTAGGCATGCAGAACTGTTTAAAATCTAACATAAGATCTTTACATGTGGCCATTAACTTTCTTTTTGATACTTCTGTATGTCTATACAGGATAGCATCTCAGCTTTTGGTAATTGTTAAAGGGATTGCTTTTTAAGACTACCAGTCATACAAAATAATTGGTTATCTCTAAAATCACAGTTTCAGTGAACCGTGTTCTAATGTGACGTGGTTATGGATAGCTGGGTCCATGATGTGTTATAAAAAAAAGAGCTTACTGTTCTTTTTCTCCTTGTCTATTCAGACACTTAAAAGTATAAAATTGCATTAACTAATAAGTATTTTGTAACTTTGTTTGATTGTGGTTATTTCTGAAAAATAAATAGGGTATTAAAGCCGGTGAGTAAACAAAGAGTAAACAAAGAAGGAACAACTGTGGAACACATTATGATTTTGTAAAGGTCAATATTATCTGCATATGAATAAAGTGGACAAATTCCTGCTCAGATGCAGTGTTTAGAGAAAAAACAAAAATCATTATAGAAAATTATCTTACAGCTCTAAGATTTCTTTTCACAATAGCTTTTTTATTTAATAAAATTCATAATTTTTAGATAGCATGAAGATGAATTCTTCACTGAATTTGAACATATATGTTTCCATATGTTTAAGGAGAAATAAACACCACTGCCATAGACTCTCACTATTAAAAGCACAAAAGCTGATTCAAAGTTTTATACTAGACATACTTTTATGTCTTAGGGTTGATGACACAAACAGCACCAGCTGACAAGTGAGTCTAGTGACTGTGAATGCATAGAATTACTAACAGTGATTGCATTAGAAATACTACTTCCCTCTGTTAGAGCAAATCATCGATCTTTTAAAAAGCTAAACCAGGATAAATCAGAGTAAAGAATAACATTAAAGAGACAAGTTATGCCATGAACCAACAGAAATCCATAGAGAGTGATCAAGTGTTAAAGGAGAACAGGTCAGTATAAATCTTAAATGATTTCACCTTAGTATAAAAGTAGGAATGAAAAAAGGATGCTGCTTTCACCAACTAGAAACCCCACCGGTTCATGTGGAGCAACTGTATGAGCAGCAATACTCTTTTTCCCATCAGAACAAATAAGTTTATTTCTTACAACTCTATTTTTTCTTAAGTGTATATATTTTCAAGCAGAAGTATAAAGTTTTCCTACCTAGCATATGTTTTGTTTCCGTTTATTTGCAACTGTCATAGCTGTTTATACATGAGTATGTATGTAACGAGTCGGGTGTTAAGCCTAATGCTCAAATACCTTGGTTATTTTGAGGGGTGTGTGTGTACTTATATTTACACAGGAGATAATAATATGCAAAGTATTTTACAAACATTTCTACTGGCTTCTGAGCAGATATATGACAGTATCTCCCTATTGAGTTCAAGGAACGTAATGCTCTATATGAGAGAGAAAAGTAACTACAAGCACCATTGCACAGATTGGGAAGCTACCTAAGAAGGGTGCAGTTGCTTACACAAAAGCCAGAAGGGGACTTGGAAGCTGATGAATCCCACCATTTTGTTTGTTCCTGTGATGCTGCTATTGAGCAATGAAATTCTCAGAATTGTACCTGCCAGATTACAAAGAGTAAAAATATAAACTCCACAAGGAAGTGGACAAGTAGGCAAGCCTTTTAAATTTTCCCCAGAAATAGTAGGCCCAAAAAGTAGCTCTGTTGCAGGTACCCTGGTAGAAAAGTTACTTGCTTTAAAAAAAATGAAAGAAACAATGTTAGCACATAACGTCTAATACGTTTGGCCTTTCAAATGTTTGTTCCTAGCTATAAGAAGTGTTACTGATATTTAATCACTAATGATAAGAGTTTAGGAGGTGCCACAGCAGATGAGATCTGATGCCATGGAGTCTGTTTTTTATCAGCAAACACTGTCAAATGCTTGTATGGGCATATAAAAAACTTCATGGTACATAGGTAAAGGACAGTTTGCTATCTTCCTCCTAATTGCTTCTAAATGTTCATAACTGGAAACAGGTTTGGACATTAAAGAATTACATTTTCTCTCTTCCAAACTACTTAGCACAAATACTGATTAAAAGCTCACCCGCTTATATGGCTTGAAGTCCAAAATAATAGACATGTTTGAATGGAAGATGAGAATTTCAGTTTGGGAAACATGTAGGAAGTTTCTCCAGTGCTCTCCTACATGGTGAGAACGTCACCAGAGAGGCAGAGATGGACAACCTAACTGCATTCCCAGGTGCCAATAATGCTGAGATTTCAGTCAATAAGCATCTTAAGGTGGAAGTAAAAGTATAGAGAAGCTAAAGGGAAGGAAAACCAAACCTTTAACAACTATAAAGTAGGGGAAAGAAATGCTTTTCCACACAGTCAATCAGTTTCCATTGTCAACCCGGTGGCATTTTAGCTTGTATCAACACTAGGAATGATTCTACATAGGTCCCATGTTGTGATTAGTTATATAGCTATACTGTCACTTCTATGGCTGATATTTTTTCCACGATGTGAGTGAGGTAACAACATGGTGAACAGAAGCTGTTTCACTTAATGTATTTTTTTCCTGGAAGTTGGTCAAAGCTAGAAGCAATAAGCCAGGGTATTCTAGATCTGGGTTATAAAGTTAGTCTCTATGCCAAAGGATGCATCTTCAGTTCAGTGCTCATGAGATCATAGATCAATTCAGGCTGGCAGGGACTGCAGGAGGTCTCCAGTTCAGCCTCCTGGCCAGAGCAAGGCCACCTCTGGGCTCAGACCAGGTTCCTCAGGGCTTTACCCAGTCAGGGCTCGAAAACCTCCAAGGATGGAGGGGACACAGACTTTCTGGGCCCTGGTTCCACAGCGGGGCTACCCTCACAAGGAAGAGTTTCTCCTTACACCCTGTCTGCATCTCTCTGGTTTTAAATTATGCCTGTTGCCTCTCATGCTCCCACCACACACCACTATGAGGACCCTGGCTCTATCTCCTCAGTCCATTCCTGGTGTACGCTGGGGGACTGCACGTATGGGTCTCAGTAAAGCTGCCTCTTCTCCAGACAACCCTCTCCTTGAAGATCCTGTGCTCCCACCCACAACTATCATGATTTCTCTCTAATGAACTCACTCCAGTTTATCAGCATCTTTCCTGGACTGGGAGGTGAGGGAGGACAAACTAGATGCAGTATCTAGATGTTGTCTAACAAGTGCTAACGGGAAATGACAGCCCCTCACTTGGCTCTCAGGGCCATGTTCTACTCACACTGCCCCAGGCACCCCTGGCCCTCGTTATCACCCAGGCACACGGCTGGCCCTGGCTCAGCTCGCTGTCCACCAGCATCCAGAGCCATCCCTCAGAGCTGCTCCTCAGCCCCACCAGCCCCAGCCTGTGTCACTGCAGGGCTCTGCCTTTCCAGTGCAGGACTCCATATTTGTCCTTGCTGAGTTTCTTCTGGTCTTTCTTGGTCCATTCTTCCCACCTGTCCAGGTACCTCTGAATGGCAGCCCTGCCTTCCACCATATCAACTGGTTGCTCCCAATTTGTTGTCATCTCCAAACTTGATGAGAATGCCTTTCATCCACTCTTCTGAGATGTTAAACAGGACAGGTCCCTTGATAGACCACTGCAGAACCACTCTTGGTACAGGCCTCCAGGTAGGGTATGACCCACTGACCATGACCTCTGAGCCAGACCATTTTTTCTACCAGTTTTCTACCCATGTAGTTGTCCTCCCATTCAGATGGTAATATCCTAAACTTGATACAAGAATACTGTGGGAGACAGTGTTAAAGGCCTTGTTGAAGTAGAGCTAAATGGCATCCACTGCACTTCCCTCATCTACAAATCCAGTCATTTTACCATAGAAAATGATCAGGTTGGTCAGGCGTGATTTATCTTTAATAAATCCATGCTGACTGTTTCCAGTCACTGCCTTCTCCATGTGCCCAAAGAACATGCCTGGCCCATGATATTCTTAGGGACCGAAGTGATGCTAACTGGCCTGTAGTTCCTCAGGTTAGTTTTTACCTTTTTCTCAAGATGGGTGTGACATTTGCCTTCCTCCAGTCATTGGGGGCCTCCCCCAGTATCCACAACCTCTCAAAGTCAGGCATGTTATCTTTAATAAATCCATGCTGACTGTTTCCAGTCACTGCCTTCTCCATGTGCCCAAAGAACATGCCTGGCCCATGATATTCTTAGGGACCGAAGTGATGCTAACTGGCCTGTAGTTCCTCAGGTTAGTTTTTACCTTTTTCTCAAGATGGGTGTGACATTTGCCTTCCTCCAGTCATTGGGGGCCTCCCCCAGTATCCACAACCTCTCAAAGCTGATGGAGAGTGGCTTTGTAAGGACATCAGCCATCTCCCTCAGCACCTTCAGGTGCAGCCTATCAGGTCTCAGGGACTTGTGTGGATCAAGTATTTGAAATCAATCCGTCTCAGTCTCAATCCCCTACTGGTAGTTCATCTTTCCTTGAGCCCCATCTCTATGTGCAGAGGCCTGACAGACCTTGCTAGTGACAATGGCGGCAGTGAGTACCATTGCCTTACCTGCGTCCGCTGCCTCTATATCTCCTGCCCCATTCAGAAACAGGTTGTCTTTGGTCAGTTTTTTACTGCTAACAGTAGTAGAAACTCTTCTTGTTTCCCTTGACATGTTTTGCAAACCTGAACTCTGGCTGAGCACTAGCCTCTTTGACACTGCCCCCGCATGCCCAGGCAATGTTTCTCAATTCCTTCCTTGTGGCCTGTCTCTGATTCCCTGTCTTGTAGGCAGTTCTTTTTGCCTGGGCATCTGCCTTCTTGTACGTCCCCTTGGTTTACTGAGTATTGGGATGGGCCATCCTTATTGCATGGAGGATGCTCTCCTTTAAAGGCTGACCATCTTTCCTGGGCTCCTTTGCCCTTCAGAGCTCACTCCCATGAAATATCACTTGCCAGTTCCCTGAATAAGCCAAAATCTGCTCTCCTAAAGCCCAGGGTCTGTGCTCTGCCACTCTCCTGCCACCCTCCCTTGCCCCAGGAACTTGACCTCCACTACATCAAAATCAGCCACCAATTACCACATCCCCAATCAGTTCTTCCTTCTCGGTGAACAGCAGATCCAGCTGTGCATCACCTGCTGTGATTCAACCCTGGTTGGCCCATCCAGTACCTGTACAACAAAAAATTACCCTTGACATCCTCCAGAAAACCTCCTGGATGGCTTGCATCCAGCCATGTTGCTCTTCCAGGAGATGTCAGGGATATCCCTCTCCTGAGTGAGAGTTTCTATAACACTAAGACTTCCCTTAATTTTTCAAAGATTTCACCCTTTTCCTCACCGTGATCAGTACTAACACACCCCCACCACAGTATCACAGTTATTCTCTGTGTAACACAGGGAGAGACACACAGGGTCTCTCCTCTGACCCTCAGCTGCAAATTCTCACCCGTCCCATAGAGGAGTCTCATACAGCGGAGCTGCTCCTTCAGATAGAGGGCAGGCCGTGTTCTTGTCTCCTCTGCCTGTCTTTCCTGAAGGGCTTGTATCCACCTGTTGCAGCACTTAGTCAGGCGAGCTGTCCCACCACATCTCAGCAATAAGCCCAGATATTCTTGGTTTGGATTATAAATGCAGCCACCATGCAAAATGTGTCTGTTTCAGATCAGTCCTCCTCTTCTACAGACGTCATCTACCTGGACTTCTCACAGGCCTTTGACATGGTCCCCTACAACATCCTTCCCTCTAAATTGGAGAGATATGGATTTAATGGATGGACTGTTCGGTGGATAAGGAATTGGCTGGATGGTCGCATCCAGAGAGTTAGTGGTCAACGGCTCAATGTCCGGATGGAGATTGATGACGAGTGGTGTCCCACAGGGGTCCGTACTGGGACCGGTACTGTTTAATATCTTCATCAATGCCATAGACAGTGGGATCGAGTGCACCCTCAGCAAGTTTGCAGATGACACCAAGCTG